CCAGCCAGTAAGGTGTAGGTCCGAGGAAGCAGGAAGGAGAATTCCCTATCCCGGTGAGCCTTTTAGATAGCGAACAACCCGAAGAGCTGCATGTCAATGCTCCTGTCGGGGTGCCTGCATAAACTGGGATAAAATATGAACTGCATAGGCCAAATCTGGTCGAGTAAATGAGAGATAAATTAGATGGCCCACCAAACGCCGATACGACTCGGGGTCAGAAAGTAGCTCGCCAGTGGCCAGAGCCAAAGAATGGTTCTGTTCCATGGGAAAAGATGACGGTTTAGCCCCAAGAAGACCAACTTCATAAATGATGTCCAAGGTATATTTGCGTTGACAGAGAAACAAACCCTCCGGGCTACGAGCAACCTCAATACTAAGAAAATACTGAAGAGTACCCAAATCCTTCATGTGGAAGCACGTATGAAGGTAATGCTTGAAACTAGACAGAGCAGTCGAGTCATTACCGGCAAGAATTAGACCATCCACATAAATCAGCACGTATAACTGAATATCACCCCGATGATAGATAAACATAGAATAATCGGAGTATGAATGACGAAAACCATAAGTCCGCAAAGAGGTAGCCAACTCAGCGAACCAACATCGCGAAGCTTGTCGCAAACCATAAAGGGATTTGTTTAGACAACACACTAAGTCAGGACGAGATGGGTAGAATCCTGGTGGAGGTTTCATGTAGACTTCTTCGACCAAATCGCCATGAAGAAAAGCGTTATGAACATCCATCTGATGGAGCTCCCAATTCTTAGCTGCCGCAACCGCCAAGAAAACACGGACAATGACCATTTTGGCAACAGGAGCAAAGGTTTCAGTGTAATCAATATCTGCTTTCTGGTGATTGCCAAACACCACGAGACGCGCTTTAAGTCGTTCCACCGTACCATTAGAATGGTATTTCACCTTATAGACCCATTTGCAACCGATTGCCTTTTTACCGTGCGGTAGCGGGGCCATATCCCAGGTATTATTATTTTCAAGAGCTCGAATTTCAGTTTCCATGGCCGCTTTCCATCCAGGATCCGTCATAGCTTCCTGGAAGGAACGCGGTTCATGACCTGCAAGAATTGCTCCAAGAAACGTACGGTAACGAGCAGAAAAATTATCACAATTCACATAATGAGCTATGGAGTAGGGCGTACCTGAGGAACCGAGAGGAGAGGATGAGGGCAGAGATGGGCTCAATTTCCAAACATGGTGAGTAACAAAAACACGCAGCAAGACCGAAGTGCATTTGGAACGCATTCCTCGGCCAAGAACAGGAGGTTCCTCAGAAGATGTCTCAGGAAGGGAAGTGGCAGATGCAGACTCTATGGACGAGGCTGCCATGTCACCCACTGAAGCAAGAGGACTCGGGTCATCGTGAATGATTGGGGTAGTATCTGTGGTGGCGCATGGAGTAGGAGGAGTAGGTGGCTGCACAGCGAAGGGGAATTCTTCCTCGTGGAACTGCACATCACGCGAGACAAAGATATCACCCGTGTCGTAGTCATATAATTTCCACCCTTTTTCCCCGGACGGATATCCAATAAACACACACTTCTTACTCCATGAAGCAAATTTATCACCCCGGGATCTCAAATTATGAGCAAAGCTCAAACATCCAAAGATCCGTAAGTGGCCAAAATCAAGTGCACGCCCAAAGAGAATTTCATAAGGAGTTTTACCCCCGAGCAAGCCAGATGGAGTACGCTTGATGATATAAACCACGGTCAGCACACATTCACCCCATAAAAAATAGGAACATTAGCCTGAAACATTAATGCGCGAGCAACATTCAAAATATGACGGTGCTTACGCTCTACTCGGCCATTTTGTTGGGGCGTTTCAACACACGATGTCTGAAATAAAATACCACGGTCTTCAAAACAAGGGAGCATGCATCTGAACTCGATGCCATTATCACTACGAATAATCTTGACAGATACGTCAAATTGTTTCTCAACCATAGTGATAAAAGAAAGAAAGTAATGATGCACTTCCTTTTTGACTCTGCTGGTTCTTTTTCTACTATTCACTCACTCAAAACTTAAAATTAGCTGCCATAACTTTAATAAAAAATTCAAATTCAGAACATAGTTTATGCAAAAGAAGAAAAATGCAGAATTCTCTTCATAGATTCTGGCAGATAGAATAGATTTTAAACTGTAGTTCTAGAAAAACATAAACCAAACCATTTACGTTTTGTTCTTAACACCAAAGAAGTTTTTATAATTCTTTTTACGACATTGAAAGATTCAGTTTTATAAATGCAAAAAGACTAATTTATAAAAAGTTATGATTTACAACTCAGCGACCACCGGTGCGGTGTTAAGAATTATAAAATGCAAAAAGGCTAATTTATAAGAGCAACAGAAAATTCTAAGAGCATGTCCAAGGAGAAGCAAAAAAGAATAGAGGGAAAATGATAGAAAAATATAAACTATCATGCCCATATAAGGAGGATCTTGCATCAGAAATGATGGGAAATGAACTCTACATCAGTTCATGTTATCATAATATTAAACCAAGTCAAATAAGTGATTAACTATTTGCTTAAGAATAGGACCTATTTCAGAATGTGCAGTAGTGATAAGGCTGAACTATGTATAAAGTTGGCTTAATTTTAGGATTTACTGTTATTTCTAGTATTATAAATATTGAAGAGCTTTAGCTTTGTAATTTGGAGAAGTTGATCAATAAAATTACTCTTTCAAGTTCTCTGTTTTTTCATTCTCACCCAGAATACAAATTAAGATCAATTTTGTGAATATATATATCTATAGTTCACAAAATCCAAAGTAAAAAAGGCAAGCAAGTAAAATATACATAGTATATCTAATCCATCCACCGCATCTTGAAGTTCTTACTTATTCCCAAGTAAAAGAAAAATCCAATCTGCAACCTTTGTAACCTTTGTCAAGCGAATTACGCGCTCGGAACAACAAATGATGCATGATCTGTCATTAAAAGCTTTGGGGCACACATGAAAGCATTACTTAGCAAGCTAAGAAAATCCACTCTGTAAAATTGTAAAAATGAGGGCAAAGTAGATGGGTGGCAGCAGTGGGTGATTCAAGCCCTGGTTTCTCTCGTGAATTTTCATCCCTATTCTCCGATTTCTCCCAGTCTCTTTTCATTCATATATTTCATTAGGGTATGCAACAAAACTGTAAAATAGCACAGCAGATAGTAGACTAACACAGACTTTACACTTCCCCCTCTTATTTCTTCTTAGCTCAGAAAAAATTTGACCCGTCTGCAATTGATATAAAGGAGAGAAAAAGAAGAATTAGTAAAGTATAAATGCATCACCCAACTACTATAATGAAAGATAAAGCACGATGTGAATTACTAATTCAATTGAGACACTTTTAGAAAAGAAGCATCACTTGAGTATTTGTAAAAAAAATGAAAAGTACACATGCACCACAAAGAGAGAAAAGAATTTCTTAACGCTCCAATAAAAATATCAATAATGTAATGATTGAAAAACATTTGCATTTCTTAAAGGAAATGAAAGAAGGCGAAAAAGAATTTTGACAAGCATATAAACTTTGAAATATAGCAAGGATTTATTATTTCCAAAACATAGGAGATTCGACAAGGGTGGTTACTATCACATGTGCATCCCTTTTGATGAAGGCTTAACTCTTAGCGCCAATTGGAATTTAAAAGGCACTTCCTGCCTTCCATTTTCTTTAAAAGCATATGGTAAATGTAATCTATTAGTTGAAAAGAGCTGAATGACAATACGAACGAAAATGAAACTGAACCCAATTACCAAGAGGCAAAGAATCCAATAACCAGAATACACCAAAGCAATTAGCCATCACAATTAATCGAAGCCTAGAACATCAAACTAAGTGCAAAACACTCTACAGGAAGATGAAATAGATATTAAGCTAAAAATAATGTTTGAGGAAGAAGAGCATGGTCAGTTAGGAAAATAACCCCTCAATCATCAAAGTCTAATGATTGAATCCATCTTGCTTTAGAATCTAGAGAAATATGCTGTTACGAAGAAGGGTGAGCAACAAAAATGCACTCTCCCCATGTCCAGTATTATACCTTCTTTTATAAACCACCACCCCACCCCTTATTAGTCTGATTATCTACTTTTTCAAATAGATCATTATTGAACCGTGTTAGAGGGTCTACTTATAAAAAAACAATTTATACATTGAATTACAGTAGAAATGTCTAAAAAGAATGAAACTTCTAGCATTACTTTGTAGATTCCATTACAGTAGAAATGTCTAAAAAGTATGAAACTTCTAGCATTACTTTGTAGATTACATTTATCAATTTAAACAATTTTTTAACACACTTTGAGATAACGCGGTTGGCATAATCTCTTTTTTTTCAGTCAACAAAATTGACCCCATCAAATGGGCAAAAGTATTACTCCGTAGTACAACTTAATTACAAGTTTCCAAAATTTGGGTTCTTAAAAAATAGTGCCAAACAAAAATCTCAACAGCACAAAGATCCATGACCACAATAACAACATAGTAGAACTATATTTGATTGCTAGCTACGCTAAGCATAAGTGGAGTAGCATCACCTTTGCTAGACCAAATGTAGAAAATTCTCTTGGAATTTCAAAAGATCATAACCTAGTTAAAGGAACTGCTGAAGAGCTGATTGATGAACCTGTATTTCAGATGAAGAGTCGATTGATGGATTCTACGAGAGCGGGCGAAGACTCCTAAGAGCAGATAGGGAGGCGAGGCGAAGAGCAAATGCAGAGGGACTTCGAATTCTTGATTCCGCAATTCCCAATAGCGACAAGCCGACGAAGAAGGCAAAAAAGGGTTAGTCCCGGAGTGTGAACCGTGGGTTGCGCTGACGACGAAGGCAAACGGGGATGAGGAACGGATGACAAGCTGCGTTTCTTAACATAGTTATACCCACTTAAAAAAGGCACAAATAATTAAACACAAAGTACATGTGAAGTAAGCTATAGTATATTATTCATGCTTATTATTTTGTAGAGATTTTGTAGAGATTATTGTATTCATGGTCGTCGGACCTCTTATATGCAATTTCTGCTTCATCACTCTGCAGATCTATTAAGAAATGTCATCTTGGTCTTCACTACACCTCAAATCTCCCTTCCACCCTTTGCCTACCTACCCAACCTATGTAAGCACGGAGCAGACTTGCTTCCCTGCCCACACACTAATATAATTCGTTTATAACATTATTGATTGTTGTCTTTGTTATTTTGGTTCGTGGGACGAGATAGTCTCTAATTTTGTGCGTTTGAGTTAGAGACATAACAGTTCTATTGTTGTAGGGTGCCATAACTGGAGAATTTCCCGTAGCTCTTCCTTGCACACCTAAACTGAGCGGGAGGGAATCTCGTGTAATATTCGCCAAGAAATCTCAACTAAATTGCTTGAGAGAAGTAGAAATGGATGCCATTCCACCAGCTTTCATTAGTTCTGTTGCTGAATCCATGGGTGGGCCTTAAATACTTATTTTCCTTTCGGTATAGAGAATTTATTCTCACTCCTTGTAACTGTTGTAAGCTTTTAATTTAATTGCTACTAGAGTATTTTACTGGTTTATGTAGATATGGAGGGCAAGACACTGGTGGAGCAAGTGGAGCCAAAAGATCCGAGCTTTTCAACAATTCTGATGAATTTTAGTGATGATTTTGACCCTTATGATGCAATGAGTACTCCTTTGTATCAAACAGCTACTTTTAAGCAAGTAAGCGTCAAAATAATACTAGATTGAAACGCCCCATATATATTTTTTCTTCAGGAAATTGTTTGTACTGAAATAGTGGTTTTCTTTCTCAACTGAAAGTCAGTGATAGAATATTAGCATTTAGAACCCATCATACACTCTATGAATACACTCTATGAATGATGTGCATCACTACCTCTACAGCCTTATAATGCCATCATACATTTATTTTACAATTATAGGTTGGTACTTAATAGCATATGACATCTTGTGCAGCCTTCAGCAACAGAAAATGGTCTTTATGATTATACAAGGAGTGGAAATCCAACACGAGATGTATTAGAAAAGTGTGTAGCTTCTTGTGTGGATATTGCAGCATTTACGGTCTCATATATTATGTTCATTATATTATAACACTCATCATAAGTTGCCCAACATTTCAGGCTTCTTGCAAAGATTGAGAAAGCAGATAGAGCATTTTGCTTCACCAGTGGGATGGCGGCCTTGACAGCGGTAACTCGCCTTGTTGGAGCTGGTATTTTTCTATTTTTCTAATGTTTGGAACGCAAAGGAAAATGAAAAGTGATCATTTTTTAAAGATCTATTCCCACAAATTTAGATTTCTTATTCTTTGTATTTCTTTTTGATCCCGTAAGGCAAACCACCCGTCAGTGGGGTCAATGCTAGAGAACATTTACCGATTTTTTTTATTAAAATAGAGAAAAGTACACTAAGAGAGGGGGACTAAATTAAAACCTATTCCTCCCCAGAAATACAGAAGAAAAACATTAAAACGACAAAATTGGATGGGCTAAGCCTGACCCAATTTACAAAACAATTTAAAGAACTAAGAAATAAATCTAAAAGTAGGTATTCCAAATAAATCCATAAAATAAGCTTTTTGAACATGGGCTGGTAAGTCCGCCGGACACCTAAAATATTGCCACTGGATCGAATCTTCTTAGTCTTTGTATAATAGCAATAAATAAATTATTAAAATGATTTTAAAAAAATTAAAACATCTAAAATAAATATCTCAAGTTTGAGGCAATCTTTTAGTTTTCTTACATTTTCCCTTTCTTTATATTATCTATTTTATTTCCCTAGCGGTTTCTCGCTTAGGCAACACTGCATCTACGTAATATACTTGTATGGTGCCGTACAATTAACTAAAAACTATATATAGTCGATGATCAGGAGAACTCATATCTTTTAGTCACATATGAGTAAAAATCCCTTGTTGGAGCAAGTAGACATGAATATTCATTGTTGAACTATTTGATTTTAATTCCTTGATAGGTGAGGAGATTGTTGCTGGGGATGACATATATGGTGGTTCGGACCGGCTATTGTCACAAGTGGTCCCAAGAAGTGGAGTTGCTGTGAAGTTAGTATCAGTTTTTTGAATAAACTAATTTTACCTTAACAGGGTGTTTAGTGTTTTTACAACAACGGCTGAACAGGCGAGTTGACACAACTAATCTTGATGAGGTTGCATCAGCAATTGGACCAAAGACAAAGCTTGTTTGGCTAGAAAGTCCTACAAATCCTCGTCAACAAATTTGTGATATCCGTGTGGGTTATAGTGCTTTGAATTTCCCATGCAAAAAGAACCCTTTAAGCGAATTATAAAAATCATCCCCTTTCACACTAATTGTTTTAGTTTCCATGCAAATATTGAATTCAGAAAATTGTTGAGATGGCTCATGCACATCGAGCCCTCGTGCTGGTAGATAACAGCATTATGTCCTGCGTACTCTGTTGCCCCTTGGAATTTGGAGCAGGTATTGGAAACTTTGTTCATCTTTCTTTCGCTTAATCAAATTGTTTATAGTCAAGTTCAAACTGGTGTTTTAAAAAAAATACTGAAATCTATTTCCAGATATTGTGATGACTTCAGCTACTAAATTCATATCTGGTCATAGCGATCTTATGGCAGGCGTCCTTGCTGTTAAAGGAGAAAGGTCTTTATATTCTTTCAGTAGAGACATTTTATTTGTTGGCTTCTTCTATTGTGTGTGTATATGTTATTCATCCTAGATGTCATTCTGCTCTTAGGGATTTAACTAATAGTCTAATGCATATGTTGAGAACAAGGTGTACTTTGATGCTAGTTGTATTGGATGAGTGGCTGTTATATCACAACATCCAAGCCTTAGTCCCAAAAGCATTCGAGCTCGGCTAACAGCCTAACATGAATCAATATATGATATCCGAGCAGTAGTAAGGAATTACTTTGGTCAAAAGGAATTATTAGGGTAAAAAAGGAATTATTGCTTTGTTTATGCTGAAGTTTCTTTATGAACATATAAGAGCGCAGTAATAAGGCGTTGGCTTACAATTTTCGGGATTATGAAGTTTTCCCACTAAGCTTTGGTATATTCCATTATGAACACGTTGGGTTGGTGATTTCGGTATTTTCCCACTAAACTGAATTATATGAAGTATTATCTGTTTGCTACATTGCTACCTGTGGGTGCATTGTTGTTCTTTCTTAGATTGTTTAAACTAGTGATGACACAAGGTGTTTTTTTCTGTAACCAGCTTGGCAAAGGAATTGTATTTCCTGCAAAATGCAGAAGGTGCAGGTTTGGCCCCATTTGACTGTTGGCTCTGTTTAAGAGGGATCAAAACTATGGCTCTACGTGTTGAGAAGCAACAGGTAAGTTGCAAGTTGATTGTTTAATGAAAGGGATGTTTGGTATTTTTAAATAAATAAAGTCGTATATATATATATATATATATGTAAAGAGAAATGATCTCTTCAAGTGTAGATTATCTCCACAAAATTTCAGCTTAAAATTCAACCGGAAAGACGGTGAAATAAATTATTGAAACATACTGCACTTTATTTATGTATACTTCGTATATATAAAGCGCAATATGTTTCAATAATTTTTTTAACTGACTTCTCGATTGAATTTTAATCTGAAATTTTGTGGAAAAAAACTACATTTCATGAAGAACGTGCTCAAAACATTTCATAAAAATTTCCATCGGGAAGGGCCCCAACCGACTATTGCCGGACTTGTGTGGACTGCCTGAGGAGATAAGTTCTCCCTCTCTCTATATTTCATAGATTCTGTATAATGAGTACTCCCTCCATCCCATTTAAAGGTTTCCACGTGGTTTATGATGTTTGATTGACCATAAAGTGTCATACTCCTTTGACCATCATATTATTTCCCAAATTAAAACTATGAAACTATCCTATAAATTGATTATCATAGAGGTTAATATAGTCATTCCATTTAGAGATGATACATATATTTGGAATATTTGTAAGATTGGATTTCATCCTATATTTTTGAATGCTTTATCAAGTTGGTTCTAGAAAACCACACACAACTTGGAAAACTTTCATTCTGTATTTTGAAATACTTTATATATTATGTTCCAAGAAAATACGTATATTTTGAAATGTTTTGTATATTTCATATTCCTTTCAATTTATATTCTAATACTATATGCCTGGTCCGTGCGATGCATGGTCGACCAATACTATGCGAGAAACATTATTTCAATTCTAATAATCCTCCGTATCGCATTAATTGCAACATTGGAATATATGCACTATTCATGTACTTTACTTTGACTACATTTTATTTATTAATGTATGTGAATTATTTTTTTTGAAAAATATTGTTAAATTCGTCTCATTACTAAGTTTTATAATCTGATTTTTATTTTATTTTTACTAATACAGAATTAAATATAATGACGGTCAAAGTTGTGCGTTGTCAAGCGTTGACAAGGATCAATTTGCTTTATCGTCGATCAAACATCGTAAACTGTAAAGTGCCTTACAAATTGGGACAAAGGGACTAAGGGAGTATAATATAATAAACATTGTTCTAAAACTTGCTAGACTCTAGTTGGACGGTTGAGAGACGCCTAGGGCCTAGGCGGCTGGCTAGGCTTATTAGTCCTCTACAGTTAGGGCCGAGTAGGCCGACTAGGCCAATTAATCGGTCTGACTAAGCCATTTTTGTAAAAAAGTGATAATAGTAAATTCCGAGTACATACACATTGTGTGATTCTCCTAATGAAAATATAAATCTTTTTTATCTATATTTTATATTCTTCATAAAATATAGAATATATATGAACGGAGATAGTGTATATCATTGTTCTAAAATTCACTAGGCGTTAGTCAGACGATTGAGGGGCGTCTAGCGCCTAGGCAGCCGACTAGACCGATTTTTTGGCCGACTAGATCGATTAGTCCTCTACAGTTACGGCCGACTAGCCTGACTAGGCGATTAGTCAGTCCGACTAGGCCGATTTTTAGAACAGTGGTGCATATATTGATTTTGTATCATTTTGTTCCAATAAATGGAATCGTGAGAGCAAGTTGATGTCTAATATTTTGTAGAAAATGCAAAATGCAAGTAATTGTTGGTCAAATATATTAAATTAAATCCATCCATGCCCTTTACTTTTAAAGCTAATTTCAACTCATAATTTGATTTTGTATTCCCATAAATGTTGTCGGACACTCTACTCGCAATATTCATCAAGGAAGTGAGAAGACAAAACCGTTGCATGCCTCGTCTTCGATTAAGGTTTTAGACCTTACACCGAGAGACATCATGAGTAACTACATGCTATCATTGATTGATGACCTAGGAGTTACATATCTTAGTTCAATTAATATTATCCCCTCGCACACCAGTATTACCTTGCATATTGATATGTACATTGTCGAATATCAACGCTTCAACGGCTGGATGGCCAATCATGTCCTCCATTTGAAAATCGGAGCCCCAATAATGTTATCCAAAAATATTAATCACACATAAGTTTTGTTCAAGAACGTGATTTGAAAAGCTATGAAAGATAAAGTTTATTTATTGAGAATCCCATTGTTACCATATGACAACTTTACTCAATTTCTGAAGTAAGCTATTTCTTGCGATTGTAAGCTTTGCAATGACAATCAATGAAGAGTAATGAGTAAAGACATCTTAAGATACTCATACGTTCAAAAGAAACAAATTTCTTACAATGTCACTTTTTAATTTTCATTTTCATTTACCTCAGTGCCGCAAAGGCTCCCACCTACGGTGGGGTAAGGGGGGGTCGGATGTACGCAGTCTTACCCCTGTACTAAAGCACAGAGAGACTGTTTCCGGACGACCCATAGTGAAAATCCCGTCCAAAATTGCATGGACTGACTGCAGCTTCATGACAAAGAAGCGCAAACAGTTTAGTGAGCCATTTTGCTTTATTCCATCATAATCTCAAGCCAAAAAATAATGAATCTTTGGCTCCATTGCAAATGATGGAAACCACAATGTCACTTTTTAATATGTTATTTTAATTTAATTACTATCCACAATGAACAAACATATATTTGAAGTAAAATGATGATTTATATATATTGTATTTTTTTTATATCACACCATTTATATATATTGTATAAAACATATATCTTACAAAGTATTCAAACATTCTCAACATCCGTCCGGGGCAACGCCCAAGTAAAACACTAGTTATTTCCCATTAAAAGGTGGAACCTAGATACATAAATCACTACAGGAGGCGCGATCTGCGTACCGATCGTGCCGTACTCAATTGCAGTACGAAAATGATCCGGTCGCTAGTCGGAACGCTATGCGGTACGTTATTCGAGTCGTTCCCAGTCGCTGTTCATTGTCGATTTCAATCAATCTTCAAATCGATCCCAAACAATGTTTGGAGCGATTGTATTCGCCGTTTCCAGTCGCCGTGCAGCTTGAAAACGCCGTTTCCGGTCGTCGCGCAGATTTGAATCGTCATTTCCTAGGTCTGTGACTCTTAGTTTGCATTTCATTTCTATGTGTAAACGGCGTATGAACTATGATTTTCGAACCACGCTCCTAGACTCCTATTTTTCTGATCCTACTCATCAATTTTACCCTCTAATAACAGTTATGATTACACTGTTCCACCCTTAATTTCATATGCTTCCATATGTTTCATTTCATTTTGAACAGTGTAAAACTGTAAAACTTATGCTTCCAATATCTTGGCAGGAAAATGCACAAAAAATTGCTGAATATCTCAGTTCCCATCCACGAGTAAAGAAGGTTAACTATGCTGGTCTTCCAAGCCATCCAGGGCGCACATTGCACTATTCCCAGGTTTTGATTATTTTTTACCATCATAAAATTACACACCCATCATGTGGTAATTGTAAAGAGTTGAAGTGAATGGTCTGAAGCCTCCTCACTTGTTGTGGCAGGCAAAAGGAGCAGGGTCAGTGCTAAGTTTTTTGACAGGGTCATTAGCACTGTCTAAGCATGTAGTTGAGACCACAAAGTACTTCAGTGTTACTGTTAGTTTTGGTAAATTTCTCAGTCCTTTTTTAACATTCTAAATTATGCGAAGTGCTTGTGCTGGTTTTAACACTTTACTCATCGAAGTGTATGCGAAGTGTAATGATGGTGCGGTTAATTTTGGCAGGAAGCGTGAAATCCTTGATAAGCTTGCCGTGCTTTATGTCCCATGCAAGCATTGCTGCTGCGGTGCGAGAGGCAAGGGGGCTAACTGAGGATCTTGTTCGTGTTTCCGTTGGAATAGAAGATGTTGATGATCTGATTAGTGACCTCGATTATGCACTTGCATTCGACCTGGAGTAGATATCCTGCTCCCATTCGGATTGAATTCTGGACTCTACCATGTATATGTATTTTAGTGTCTACATTTATGTTTCAATGCCATTTTTGTGTACCCTTCGAATATCGTGTAATTTAAGAATTTATGGATTGAAGATTGAATTTTGCAAAGTTTAGACCCTCTGTTCAATATGTTTATTATTCCTTTTGAATTTTGAACCGGATGAATAATTGAGACTAATCAAAGTTTAAATGGGGAAAACTGCTGATTCCAGAAGACCGGAACTAGCACTGGTGGGCGGTGGCGGCAGAGGCGGCAGAGGCGGCTTTGGGGCCAGTTGGCCAAGGTGGCAACTGTCTTGGGCCTCACCTGTGAAAGGGGCCTCTGCCAAAAAAAATCTACGTAGTAGTATTAGGTATATAACAAGAAGTAGTTATCCGAAGGGTTGGTTCATGGCTCTACGCCGAACTGGAAGCTGCCTTTGCTTCTCAGTTCAACTGGTGATCCCAGACTGCCTTGGAAAGTGTAAGATGGTACTATCGATTTCAGATTTCCGATTGACCCTTATTCTCTGCTTTATTGCTTCCGCTGGAATTCTTCTTGTGGACTTTGGAGTTCTTCTGTTCCGGGGAAATCAGGCCTAAGAAATAAAAGAGCGCAGGCTGCCCAAGATATAGTTAATTAGTTATTCACTTATTTCTGATTTTCTGCAATTGACCGTAAATTGAGATTTGGGAATTTGGGTTAGACACTTCTGTACACTATTGCCAAGCCTACCAAATACTCCCCGGTCCTTATTAAACTTTGCACTTTGACTTCACACATATTAAGGAAATAAATTTGACTTTACGGTAGAATACACGGTTTGACACTGTTTAACACTGTTTTGCACTGTTTGATGTAGATTTGTTTGTCAAATAAGGCAAATAAGAAAGTGTAAAGTTTAATATGGGACGACCCGAAAAGGAAAGTGTAAATTTAATTAAGGACCAGAAGGAGTATGAATAGAGTGACTCATTAATCATTGGATGCACTTTTTAAAATTATTAACTTAATAATATTGGGTATTTTTTTATTTGTCATAATGGTACTCTTTATTATTATTAGTAATTTATGTTTTGCACTAATATTTTAAGTGTGATTGGAATAGTCATTTAGTTATTTTGTCACTAATATTTTATAATTGTATATTGTAATTGACTAATTGTTAATTTTATCTTTTTGTTGATCATTTTCTATTAATTAATATTTCTAAATATATTAAATATGTAAGTATTGTCATAATGGTTAAATCGAGTAAATGGTAGGTTTGAACTTCAAAAAGCAAGAAGAAAACATTATAAAAAAGTATATCTTTTGGTGCATTTTGTATGTGTTATAGTTCAAACTTTATTTTTTGTGTTACATTTTATTTCTCATATTCAGTGTTTCTATTCATTTTAACTTATTTTTAGAACAATGACTTATTTATTAATATAATTTGTTAATGTTAGATGTTTTCTGTCTGGGGTCTCCAAAATGTTAAGGATGCCACTGGGTGGCGGGGACTCACTTACTTGCATTCCAATATTATATAATGAGTGGTTACACCTCTTGCAAAATAGGCTTGGATTAGCTGATTCCCATCATAGTAATTATCTTGAGGATTTGATAAAAGGTTCTGTTTGTACATGTTTTTTGTATACCAATTTGTAAACGTCACCAAATTTCAGAATTCTGTCTTAAAAAGGTAGAATTGGTCGTATAAACAAATAATTAGAGCGTGCACACTCAAAATGTATACATAAATAGAACTCTTAGTTTTAACTTGACCCAAATTGTACCACATTTAACTAATCATCTGGGTTACGATTATTATTTTCAACCATAGTAATATTTGTTACTATTATAGTTATTTTCTTTATTTACTAATGATAATGTGTTTAGTGTAGTACAAAAATAGCTTTTTTTACTCCGAGGGGCGTTTGGGGGAGGGAGGCTGGGACCTGGAGTAATCAGGGCTGAAATTCACTCTATTGAGTTTCAAACACTTATGTGCCTAGCGAGTTTCGAACTCGAGATCTCTCACTAGGCACGGTAACCTCACAACCAGCTGGGCTGGAGTAGATAATAAGCCGGACTTCAGAAAAAACTGTTCAACGTGGTTTGTTCATTTTGACTTTCTGATATTAAAAATCCAAAATCAAATTTTCTTTACCTAAGGAATAGATAAAAAAAATTAAAGTCAGTCACAAAAGAAGATGAAAAATGACTTGTAAGGATGTTTTTACTTGGACTGTAATTTACTGGTATGGTCTGATCTGATCTGGTCCGGTCTGGTATGGTCTGTACCGGTCTGGTCTGGTTTCTTTGTATTTTTATAACTATTCAAGTATGATCTGGTCTAGTCTGGTCTGAACTGGTCTGGGACGAATTACAATCCAAGTTTACAAAACACTCTCACTACCTCAAAAACATCACTATAACCTACGTAGTAATCTTTTAACACACCATATTAAAGATCCATGCATTTACAATAAAATTAAATAAGCATATACAAATAGGAAAAATGATCTTACATGCCATTGAAGCATTGATACATTACGTTAAAATGATTAATAACATGAATGTGAATGCTATTAAAAAATATATACTGTTTTACGTTAAAAAATGCATACTGTTTTAAAGTAACATAAAACGTTCATCTTTTAAATTACATCAAATAAAATTAAACCAAATAATAGTATGAACATTCGCGAGTCTAGGGTTAGTTTTGGGGGACCGGCGACGTCGTCCACGGCGGCGCTCTGTGTTCGAGTAATTAGTTTCAGTGGACGGTACGGGAACGTGATATGGAAATTGTAAGCTGGAATTGCCGAGGCCTCGGTAATTTGGCGACGGTGCAAGTTTTGATAGACGTAGTTCAGTCCAAACGACCGGGAGTCCTCTTTCTGATGGAAACGAAGGTGAACAGGGACAAATGTGAGGAGTTGAAGACGCAATTGGGTTTTTGCAGTTGTTTCGCCGTAGACAGTTTCGGACAGAGTGGAGGCCTCTGTTTAATGTGGCGTGATGGTATAGAACTGCAGGTCTGTAACTATGAAGCCAACTTTATCGATAGTTTGGTTAAATTTGAGACCGATGACACACAGTGGAGGTTTACATGATACCATGGCTATCCTGAGAGGAATAGAAGAAGGGATTCCTGGGATTTACTTAAACGTTTGTCTCGTGCATCAGATAAACCATGGCTCCTCATGGGCGATTTTAATGATATTCTCTTTGAAAGTGAACGCAGGAGGAGACTGCCCCAGCCGCTATGGCTTCTCAGAGGCCTCCGGAAGCAGTAAGTAGCAGTGGTCTCACAAATGTTCCATTTGAAGGCTATCAATGGACTTGGGAGCGGGGCAGAGGTACGCCAAGGTGGATTGAAGAGAAGTTGGACAGAATTTTAGCGAATGAAGATTCGTTATCTGTTTGATAACTATAAAGCTTGCTCTTTGGAGGGCCCTTCAAGTGACCATCTCATGCTACATATCAGGCTGGCTAGAATCAGGGGAGGAAGACGGAAAACTTCTTTTAAATTTGAAAACATGTGGTTGCAGGAAGCAGAATGTAGAGAAGTAGTCCAAAGGGCTTGGATAAATTCTCAAAATCTGGCGGTTTGGCAACGTTTACCGGAGGGGCGGATCCAGTAATGAAGTAATGAAGAGTGAGGTGAGTTTAGCGGGAAAAAATTGTTATTGCAAACAAAAAGTTTAGCTTAGGCTGCTTAGGGCCGTAATCCAATTGAGTTTTTTTCGAACTACGCGAATTCGAGCGCGATTTCAAATTTAATTTAGTGATCTGAGCTTAAGAAGCTTTTTTTAACTCGAACACGAGCTAGATTTTGAGTTCGAATAGTTGTTCAAGCTGAGTTCGAGAATAGTGATATTCGGTTTGATCCGGACTCGAGTCTGTCAATAACTCGTAAATTATAGGAATAAATTTTATTTATCTTAATATTTAAACATTTTCATTGCAATTTTTTAAATCTATTTGAACACTAAAAAATAGATTTCATATATCTATTTTATTCAAGTCGAGTTTGAGCATAAGTTAAATTAATAACCAAATAGAATTACATAACTATAAAATAAAACTAATGCACAAAATAATAGATTAAAAGAGTATAAGAGTATGTGTGGATGGCTGGACAACTAGACTCGGCTAGAGGCAGCTAGTCAGACTCGAATAGACTAGAGGGTAGAGCCGCAACGAGCTACAGACTGGAGTGTCGGACCACAGAGGGACACCGACGATCGACCGCAGACATAGGGGACAGGAAGGCAGGTGGTGGCGCGGCTGGGTGCCTGTGTTCATGACTTCGTGGCTTCGTCGCTTTACTGAGTTGAGTCTTTCCAGCTTTTACTTTGTGCTTGTTAGTCGCTTTATAACAAAAGTATACTTCTACAGTTCTAAAAATCACAAATAGTACTTCTTACCATGCTTGTTGCAAAAATTAGAACTAGATAATGAACTGGGTGATGGAAAAAGCATAATAATAATAATAATAACAACAACAATAATAATAATAGAAATAGTATACGACCAAATAAGGATAGTTGATAAAGAGTAACTTACACTACAAAAAATTACGGAATTGACACGGAATTTGGCATGAATTTACCAAATTGTCGTATCAAATAGCTCGAGCCAAAGTGTTTTTGGCACGGATTTGCCATATCCCTGTCAAAATCCCTGCCAATCCCATGTTTTTGTGTGGTGTTAGGTATTTTAATGATTATAATTATGTTTAAATTTTAATGCTTATAAAAGTTACTCATGGTGACTTGGGTCAAATAATAGTAATATTCATATAATTTATGTTGTAAAATAATATTGTAAACTTGTAATATAAAGTGCTTTCATTGATGGTGTGGGTGAGTGGGTGAGATGTGATTGCATAATTGGCAACCGGCTCCAAACACCAACTACATACGATTGTTTAATACTCCGTATGTAAAGTATTGCTCCTCAATTTATCCCACACCGGCTGCAAGGATGGTTCACCCTCCTGAGTGTCCTATATATAAATCATTTCTTGGTGCAATCACAACAAGCTCTATTATTACACATCGGGATCATTTGTTCCCATGACTATGGGCTTTAAACAAAGTTTGGGCAGCCTTTTGCCTTTAGAGCTTCTTAGAACACTTCCTTGTTGACTTGGGCTGGGCTGAGTATTAATTTTTGGGTGGGCTGAAAATTAAATCTCTTTCTATACTAACAAAAAAAATTGGGTTGGACTGGGCTAGAGTCCACCCTAGGCCCTACATAGATCCACCCATGGTTTACTAGGCTGCGGGGTGGAATTGGAGGCGTGGAGAAGAAATCGACGCATTGGGTTTCAAACTAGAATTGAGATTTGTAAAAGCTGGTTGGCTGCAATGAGAGAGGAAGGGGGAAGGAAGATGGAATGGAGCTGAATTTCAGAGGGTAAAAGAGGTCCTCTTGGAACTACTCCAGAAACAAAATATATTTTGGAAGCAAAGGGCGAAGAAATTTTGGTTTCGAGAAGGAGACAAGAAAACAATTTTTTTTCACAATGCAGTGAAGCAGAGACGGAGAAGGAATAAAATAAAGGCTTGTTACTACCAACCGGTGAATGCGAAAGAGACATGAGTAAGTTAAGCAATATGATTTATGGCTATTACATGGAGCTCTTTGAATCAAGTAGATATATGGTTGAATAGAACTATTTGGAGGGTGTTGCTAGGGTGACAGCGAGACAGAATCATGATTTGTTGCGCCCTATCACGATTCTTGAGCTGAGGACAACAGTTTTCGCTATGCATCCTGACAAATTGCCTGGGCCGGATGGTCTAAACCCGGGCTTCTTCCAGCACTATTGGGACATTCTGGGTAATGACATCACCAGGTATTGCCAAGATATTTTTAGGGAAAGGAGAATTCCAAAGGAAACTAATAAAACAAATTTAATTCTCATCCTGAAAAAGGATAAACCAGAAAGTTTGGGTGATTGGAGACCTATTACTCTTTGTAACGTGTTGATAAAAATCTTTACAAAAGTGTTGGCTAATAGGTTAAAAGGCATTTTAAATAATCTGGTATGTGTGAATCAAAGTGCTTTTGTTCCTAGTAGATCGATAGTAGATAATGTTATGATAGCGTTTGAGACTCTTCATTATCTGAAACGAAAGAGGCAAGGGAAGGATGGCTTCGTGGCTCTCAAATTGGATATGAGTAAAGCTTATGATTGGGTTGAGTGGAGCTATCTAGAAAGGATTATGGAAGCTATGAATTTTGATCGAAAATGGATAAGCCTGATACAGGAATGCATTGCTACAGTGGAATATTATAAACCATTTGAGGGTGATATGGTGGGACCAGTTATACCTGGAAGAGGTTTGAGGCAGGGAGACCCATTATCTCCTTGTTTATTTATTATAGTAGTGGAGGGGCTGAGTGCATTAATTAGAAAACAGGAAAAAGTGGGCAATATTGCCGGTATTGCGGTGGCGAGGGGGGCACCTAGAGTCTCACATTTATTTTTTGCTGATGATAGCTACCTTTTTTCAGAGCTCGAGAAGGAGAATGCCAGGTGGTTAAAAATATTCTTCACTGGTACGAGGCTAATTCTGGACAGCAAGTAAACTATCAAAAATCGTCAGTGATGTTTAGCCCGAACCTAAGTGATGAACAGGGGGACAACATTTGCAATTTTTTGGGAGTTTGCAGGGAAGATAGCATGCCACACTACTTAGGCCTATTTGCCTTGATAGGCCGGAAGAAAATGGATATACCAGGGTATTTAAAGGAGAGAATCATTAAAAGAATTAATAGCTGGAACACCAAGTTTTTATCAAAGGTGGGACGTGAAATTATGCTGAAGACGGTTATACAGGCCATGCCATCATACGTGATGAATGTGTTTTTACTGCCGAAGGAGATGTGTGCGGCGATAGAGACCATAATGAATGGAAATTGGTGGAGGGGGTTGGATCAGACCAAGAGGGGTATCCGGTGGATGACATGGCAGACTCTTTGCAAATCGAAGCAGAAAGGGGGTTTAGGATACCGCTCTCTACGGGAGTTTAATATCGCTATGTTGGGAAGCAGCCGCAATCGCTAGTGGGGCAGATTTTTAAAGCAAAATACTTTCCTAATTCTAATTTTTTACAGGCAAAGTTAAGGAGCAATCCCTCCTTTATATGGAGTAGCTTACTTCAATCGCAGGAGATGCTGTCTCGAGGCATGCGAAGAAAGGTTGGAAATGGTCAATCAATTTAAGTGTGGAAAGAAATATGGCTACCGGGACAGGAGGATGGTATGGTACATTCGCCACCACCATTAGGTATAGCGGATATGAATGTAGTGTCGCTATTAAATTAAAGGGGGGATAGGTGGAATATCCAGAAAATTGAAGCCCTGTTTTCCGAAGAGGAAAGGAAGGCTATTTTATCTATTCCTTTAACCAGGAGGCAGCTCACTGATGGCTTATGGTGGAGTGCGGATCCTAGAAGTATCTATACTGTTAAGAGTGGGTATAGATTACTTAGAGGGGAATATAGTATAGTCGGATGGCTAGGGTGGACTAAAATGTGGGGATTGAACATTCCCCCTAAAATAAAATGTTTCTTTTGGCAATTAATGTTCGGAGCACTACCAACGGCGGTGAACTTAAGAAGCAGGAGGGTAGAGATGGATAGATGGTGCAAGATGTGTGAAGAGGAGGCTGAAACAGAAGCACATCTGTTTCAGCAATGCTGTAAAGCTAGTGCAGTTTGGCAGCTTTTGGGCCCCGGATTCACGCGGCAAGGAGAATTTTGGCGAGGGGATTCAATGCTTTTTTGATAACTTGCAAGAGGAGGATCTATGCTATTTTATTACTTGTCTTTGAAGTTTATGGAAGGCGCGTAATGATAAAGTATGGAAGCACAAGGACACAGGAGGGCATCGGGTGGTGGAAATAGGGGCTGCTGTGTTGAGGAACTGGAGAGGGGTTCGGGAAGGGCTAGCAACAAAGAATACGGAGAATGGTAAACCAAGCTGGAAGAAGCCAACACCGGGCACCATTAAAGTTAATGTCGATGCGGCTTTGGACATCAGGCGGGGTAAACGGGCATGGGCGTGGATAGCCTGAGATGAATGTGGAATTTTCGTCCAGGGAGGTTGCCAAACAGTATCAGCTGATTAGACCGCCGGAGTATCAGAAGCTATAGGAGTGCGAGAGACACTAACACAGATCAAAACACAAGGTTGGCCAAGCGTTAAGCTCGAGACTGACTCTAGTGTAGTGGCTTTAAGCATATTGGATAGAGAAGGCGAGTCCTACTTTGACACTGTTATTGAAGACATTAGACATACTCTTCGAGAAGAAGCTAGCATAGAAGTCATTCATTGTAGACGATTCGCGAATGGAGTAGCTCACACACTAGCGAGGGCTGCCCTTTAAATGTCGGATGGAGTGTCATTTTTTCATTATCCACCAGATTATATTGTACTCCAATTAGAGAATGATAAGTTGAATTAATATACTTCAGTTTCATTTAAAAAAAAACAATATTGTCGCATACGGAGTACATGAGATTAGAATACACTCTAAGATAATAAAATTTATCACTCTCTATTTTTACAACTTTCAATAATTTTAGTTATTTTTTATCAACAATGTCATTTACATTGTCTATATTCAGATGTTGACATTAACATTATGGAGAAATAATTCCAACAAACCAAAAGGATCATTTAAATAAGGAAAGAAATGTTCTTACTCCCTTCGTCGCTTGCTCAATATTTTGCCAAATTTGACCGGTACGAGAAATAATAAAGTAAAAGCTGTGTGATTGAGATATGTGTAGTCCAGAGGAGAAAGAAATATCGGGAATCACAAATTCATTGATTAACAGGGAAAGTCGCAGAAATTTTTGAAACATCTAAAAAAGGAAAGATGACAAAATTATAAGGAACTGATTATTATTCCGCATCTCGCTAAAATTGTTTATCTTT